ATAGATTACATCAGCGCGTGATGCTTTTATAACGTTCGGCTTGCATCACAAGGTCACCCTGCACGTACGTCCAAGAGTGAGTAGATTGTACAAGCTACGTACATGAACACCAGGGACCTAACATCAAAGACGACCGACAAACTGAGGTCCGTCCTTCCTTGAGTACTCACGTCAATAATGGCGCCAGACAAGTGTAATGGGAACGGCACGTGCGTCATAGAACGAACAATGAAACAATTATAATCCACAGGGACTCGACACAAATATAATATAATACTCAGCCCCGTAGCGGTCAGTCAGTCTGTCTGTCTGTCTGTCTGACTGTGTGTCTGTCTGTCTGTCTCTCTCTCTGCCCGTCTGCTGTCTCTCTCTAAGTGTGTCACTATCTCTTTTCTGACACCCGCCCCTCTTCTTTCTCCCTTTCTCTGTTCTCTTTGAACACTCTCCCCCCCCCCCTCTCTATTTTCTCTTTCTCCCCATCACTTTCTGATTTTCTTTCCCCCCATCCTTTCCTTTTTATCTCCACCTCTCCCCCCCCCCTCCTCTCTCTCTTTCTCTCTCTCCCCGTGAGTGTCACATTGAAAATCCCATCTCCGGCTATCGATCGACATGATGACGTTCTCGCAGACAGACAAGCCGGAGTCCAGGAGACAAATTGGATGAGCGGACACAGGATGACGAAAACAACGCAAGTAAACACACAAAACCAAACCCAAACAAAAGAAAATCTCTAGATCTAGAAAAAAAACAACAACCCAACAACCCAGAAAATCCATTAACCATAACTAATCAAAGCTTTCGTAAAATGAAACTTCGCTATCCAAGCCCATGATTAATACTATTATTGCCATCTCCGTATGCTTCTTGTGTGGATTAGATGCCTCTCTCGTTGTTCTTGTTTTTTTTTAATTTTTTGTTGGGTCTTTTTTTTCGGATGACGTCAACCAGCACTCGAGTGAAATTGTGTAAATGATAACGGGACAAAAGTACACAGATAGAGAAAAAGTCTGAGGGAAAGCCGCCTCTCTTATCAGTAGCCTCCCAATCACTACCGTTGCCGTTGATGTTCAGGATTTCAAGACACGATTTTACTTGTAGTAACTAAAAAGCCCCCAACAACTAAAACAAAAACAAAACAACAACAACAGCGGACAGCGACAACAACAAGAACAACAACAACACTTAATCAGGTCTGATCCTAACAGTTCCCTCCTTTCTAACGGCTCTGACAGTGCCGGAACCATCTCCACCCCCGTCTGTCAAATAATAATATTATCATCTCTCGAACTGAACGATTAAGTCTGCTCAAATTTCACGGTATTAGAAATAATAACCCTCACAATAAGATGTTACAAAACAAAATTGAGTTTTAAATTTCAGACGGCAAAGAACGTACAGTTATTTACCTTAGTTTGAGTTGAAATGTGAACTGCTCTTTTCAACGCAACCCCCCCCCCCCCCAACCAAAACATAAAGGAGCGCATTAGTAAGCTAACCAGAGAAACATACACCTACTAAACTCTTGCATTGCAAGAAAGAGTAAACAGGAAATAAGACAGACATTTTCCCACATATTATCCAGTTTCTTACTGATGACATGAATTTTGGACAGACTATAAACCTATCGACTCAAAGTTTTTTAAAAAGTTAGCTGTTGCTTGCAGGACGTAGTAGAAAGTACTGATAGATAGAAAAGTGACGGCTCAATAAAATAAACAGCCGTAATAGTGCAGTTTATATACATAAATAAAAGTATGGTTATAGCACCCCTCTCAACAATGGAAAAAATATCTAAAAGGCTGTCGTCTCATTTACAGAAAGGCAGAACAAAATATAAAAAAGCGATACAAAAGAAAAAAAGAAAAAAAAAACCCCAACAAAAAAAACAAAGTTGATTGACCGAGCAGTGGATAGATCTAGACGCCAGACGGATAGACCAGTCGATATGCTTAATCCACACCATGTCTCATAACCCCCC